GGTGAGGTGCGATTCGCTGGTGAGGTGCAGGTCGTAGGGGAGTTGCAATTACAGTCACGGCTATTATGGACGGTGGTTGTGATTGGTGGCAGTTCTCTATTGATGGAGTACGCTTGTTGATGGTGGCTGGTTGGGCGGCAGTTAGAGAGTAGCAGTTGATGGTGGTTGGTTGGGCGGCAATTGGGGAGCAGCGATTGATGGTGGCTGGTTGGGCAGCAGTTGGGGAGCAGCCGGTGGTTTGTGCGGTTGTTGTTGTTGCTTGTTGTTATTATTGGGTTGTTGTTCGTGAACTGGGGGAACAGGGGAATTGTGCTTCCGTGAGGAGAAAATGAAGTAAAACTGAGTAGTGAGTGGTGGTGAAAAGAAAACTAATGACGCATACCAGCCATTAAAATGAATATATTAGACAATTGATGTCTGATATCAGTCAACATTAGAGACATATCAGACATTAATAAAAACGTATCAGCTATTAAAAGGAATATATCAGCCAACAAAAGATAAATATCAGCCAACAAGAAGAAAATATCCCCAACAAAAGGTACTTATCAGCCAATCAAAGGAACATATCCTCCAACAAATGAAGCATATCCGCCAACAAAAGGATGAAATCAGCAAACAAAAGCAACAGGTAAGCCAACAAAATGAAACATATAAGCCAACAATTAAAATATACATATCAGCAAACAAAATAAAGATGTCAGACAACTTAAGAAACTTATCACCCAACTGATGTCTGATAGCAGCCAACAAAAAGAACATATCAAAAAAAAAAACACATATCAACCAACAAAAGGAATATATTAGCCAACACAAAAACCATATCAGCCAACAAATGAAACATATCACCCAACACATGAAACATAACAGCCAACACATGAAACATATCAGCCAAGCCTGTCACACGCAAATTTTCGTGTGCCAGTACGCACCCAATACATTCTCAATCGAAAATTGGGTAAGACTTAGAAAAACGGATGTAATAATAAATTTTTCTTTTTTTATAATTAAATTTAGTAAAATTACCGTCCATGGCACGAAACCTAACCAAGTACTTCCTCCGTATTTTATTATTTGTTCCAATTTCCTTTTACGGCTGTATTTTATTACTTGCTCCATTTCCGTTATTGGAAACCTTTCACAATATTTTACTAATTTCGTTACTCCTAGTGGATCCCCCAGCTATCATACTTTAATATTTCCATATTCTCTATCCTCCCAACAATCATATTTTATTCTTCCACCAACTTCACTTTCTTCATATTTCATTACTTTCTATTATTTCTCATAAAACTTCGCGCATGGAGAAATGGAGTAAGTAATAAAATACGGAGGGAGTATCATAAATTAAATTCATAATACTACAAAGGAAATAGTGTCATTGTCAAAATAAATTAGAAAAATTGTGTTTGCTATAATTCACCTTTTTTAAATCATATATTTCCTCCATTTTTTTATAGTTGCAACACTTCCCTAAATTAAAAATGTCATAATAGTTGCAATACACTGTAAATGGAAGGTTTTTATGGTGACAATTGTAGTGTATTATTACCTTTATTCACTACTACATTTTCGATCAAATGCAACGCCAAAAAATGAGCTAATGCAATGCCCTATTCAATGTCGTCGCAATAGATAGCCTGATGTAACGGTAGGATTAACTAATACAACAGTCAATTATATATCATATCTAATGCAACGGTCCCTTATATACCGTTGCATTAGATTGGGCTAATACAACGGCAACAAGAGCTAACACAACGGCTGCTAAATTTTCAATATTATATTCTTTCCCTCCGTATTTTATACCCAAAATTTTGAAATTTGAAATTGAAGACCCCAAATATTTTAACCCCCGCTGTTTTCTTATCTCCGAGTTACGAATTTAAAAAAATCAAAATTCCCCTTCTTCTAGAAAAATGTTGATTTTTAGAGTGATTCCAAAGTTCCTAAATTTTCTTTCAGATTAGATTGGAGTAGTAGAGATTCACGTTTTTCTTCATTTTTTGGTGGATAATAGAAATAATAGATTTGGAGTTTCCTATTATTTATGGATTTGAGTTATCTCGTAATGAGGGGCACCAAGGGTTCGTAATCCGGTAGATCTGGTGCGGCGGCTTCGATTTCCGACAATCTGATGTTGCGGCGGTGTGTGGTGCGCCTATGCCTTTAACACTCTTACTGTATCCCTCTAAAAATATCCTAGTCAAAAAGATGAGAGAGAACAGCGTAGTAGGAAGAAGAAGAAAAATTAATTTTGCTAGTCTTACAAAGCTCTTATGGCGGCTTTGTTCGGGGTTTTGTTCTTAAATTAGTTGTTGCTACACCTTCTGGTAACTTATCTATTATCAATTTTCTTTTTATTGAGTATGTTTTTGAGTTTTGCGTTTAGTAACGGTGATTATTGTTGTTTTGGGGTTAGCTAGAGTGAATAATTTTGAATTTAGAAATTTGTTTAATTGATAATTGCTTACTGATGTGCATTTTTTATATTTGAAGGCAATAATGTCATTATTACATCTTTTACAGGAAAATTTGAATGTAAAATCTTTATTAGAAAGTAATGATTAATTGGTAAGATAGTTTTGTTTTTCCTGTGCATGTCGTTAAGTATTGCTGCACTTCTATTTCATCCTTGCATGTCTTTTTGCTGCAATTGAAATAAGGGCCTCAAGGCTATTGAATTTGGGTCAATAATGTTAAATAATGTGGATTAGTGGAAGATAGAAATTAAAGATGTATAGTAATTCCTTTTGTTATGTAATGTAGAGTATTTATGGCTGAAATTTCACTGTAATGAACAATGTTTACCTTTGGACTTATTGAATCCGAAATAACAGTCTATTGATTTGAATGACAGCTTTGCATCGTCGCATTCGAGTAATTTAATGGTGGGGTAGTGAGGTTTGCATTTTACGATAAATCTGAAATTTCGAGAATTGCAACATTAAAGAAGGAATTACCGGTAGAGCTTTGGCTTAAGATTTTCTATTTTTGGGTTCAACTGAATAGTAATTATCACAAGACTTGCTACTCAAGACTTCATGATTAATTATCTCTAATATCTAACCTTAAAAAGCCACAAGTCCTCAATTAAAAAGCTTAACTACAGTGTTATTCCTCTTTTACCTCTCAAAATGTGTATTTTCTATTCTGCATTCGTGATTTATATTGTAGCTTAAAAGAATATTGTTAGATTTACCTATATATATTTATAAGAAGATAAAACATCCTTTAAAGTTTGATTATATGTTTTTCCAGTATCTACAGTCACCTAAGCACAAGATCATATGTTGGATGATACTTTGGAAAAAAATCAGAGTGAAAGAGTTACTCTTTAGAATTGGTGTGAGTCTTGATGCTATTTGTCCTCTTTGCCATAATGCTGATGAAACTGTTGAGCATTTGTTTTTTGGATGTGAGTACTCCATGAAATGCACTAAGATCCTTTCTCTAAGCCTTAATGTTCAGATGTGTCCTAGCTCCTTGGAAGATTGTAATGAAAAGTTGAGTCAAATTCCTTGAAGGTTTAATAGACAGGTGCTTCAGAGCATGTATGCAAGGCTGCTATATGTTATCTGGAAAGAGAGAAATCAAGCTGTTTGGGATAAGTGCATCAGAAGTCCTGAGAAGGTTCAAGGTTGTTAAGATCAGGATCCTACCTTGATTCGATGAGGGGGGGGGGGGGTGGGATCGAATCGTAGAATCGTAAGATCCTACTTAATAACAAATAATATTATATATTATGCTATAAATTGACTTTAAAACATTTTTTGAAAAGGGGTTTTAATGCTAAAAGACATTGGTTTGCTTAAGAAAGGTCTATCTTCATTTAGCTTTATCTGTATGGTAGTTAGAAGATTAATATCACAAGTTTAAATTGATAAATTATGTGCAAATTTGTCAAGAATAAGACCTTAACTATGATAATTACAAGTTGTCAATTGATAAAATCATATTAATGTCACGGATTCGCTAATTTATTAGCGATAATTATTGAATACATTAAATTTAGGTGCATATAACCTAATGAGTAATAAAAAATATGTCAAAATAAATTAAAGTCTCATATTACAGAGAAATGTTGGATTGTATCGTAGGATCGTAATAAAATCGTAGGATCGTGTTGAGATCCTACCACTCATAATTAATGTCAGAGTATGAACGTAAGATCCTACAAACTTTAAGATCCTACCAAAGATCCGGATCAATCACGCAATTTTGGATCGTGAAACAGTAGGATCGTAAGATCCGGATCAAGATTTTAACAACTATGAGAAGGTTATTGCTGAGCTCTTGACTAATATTAAGCATAGAATTGACTTTGTAATGCCTACTAAAAATAGTAGAAGATCCTTCTGCTCCCTTCCTCTTCTTCATAATTAAAAATCCTGCACATATATTTCACATAACACTTTTTTCACAAACTCTGCAGAATTTATCATAATTTATGGATCAACACACATCATCAAGTTTCTTTTAACATGCACAAGCAAAACATACAATGCCGACAAAGTAAATTATACCTACCAACATAGCAATTTGGTCACCTATAAGGGAGATTTTACAGACTACCATCACCAAAATTAAAACACAATACTGAGATACATACAAATCTAGACCTATTGTTCACATACCTTACTTTTACCCATCACCAACACACACCCAAATTTTACTCAATTTACTTTCAAATTCAACTAATCATTAACCAATTTTCATTCCACCACAAAAGCATAGACATTTTCCCCAAATATAACAATTATTCAATCAACCACGACACCAATAACTCTTTATTTTTAACATAAAATATACATGCATGCAACCCATAAGCACATATAAAATTCGACACCAAAATACCCTAAACACGAATTCAGAAATTCCTAAGCAACCCTAAGCACGAATCCAAAATTCAACCCTAAACCAACCATACAATTTTCGAAACAAGAAAAACCTAAGCACGAATCCATAATTCACCAGAAACCCATATAAAATTCGAAACCAGAAAACCCTAAGCACATTCAACATAACAAAAAAAGAAATTCACTCTCATCATAAGTAAATTCAACAAAATTTACCAATTCATCACCACACAAGTCCGACTACACTTAAATAAAATCAGTTTTAACAGAAAAATAATTGAACACATAAAACCCAAGGCACATACAAAAAAAAAAAAAAAAAATTCATTCTCAACCTAAGTAAATTCAAGTGAACAAATTTTACAAATTCATCACCACACAAGTGTGAATATTATTAGATTAAATCAATTTTAACAAAAACAAAATGAACAACTTCACCACATGCCAGCAATACACAGTCAATCTTTCAAATACAGTAGTCTCAATCTCCTACAACAACTCCAAATGGGTGCCTGAAGCTGGGACAAAGGGAGAAGAGAAAAGGTCACGAAGAGAGAGAAAGGTTGCGAAGAGAGGAAGTTTTTATGTGAGAGAAAATTCAAATGAAATAAAATACTAATCCCTAAACATCCAAAGCAAGTCTACTCGAAAAAGCAGCCCGTTACAATATATAATACTATACTACAACGATTCTTTTTTTTTTTCCATCCAAAAGACCTTAAAATCCCGCCCATTTCCTTTTTTTTTTTTTTTTTTTTTTACCTACCTATTTTTTTGGTGAAGAGATATTTGTGGTTGTTTTTTTTAACCTTTATCACCTACTTATTTTTTAGTTAAGAGATATTTATTGTACGATTTTCTCCATTCCCCCAAAGTGTTATAACTTTGGCAGAATTGAACATTGCTGAATAATATAGCTCTTTTTTCTTTTTTTGTTTTTTTTTTTTGTTGGTTGACTTCTACTATAATGCTATAATTCAAGCAGGAATTTTTTTTTCCCCCCTGATAACAACTAATCTAAACAGGTTAATATTAACTGTTTTTTTTACATAAATGTACTAAGTTAACATCCTGGATGTACTAAGTTAACATCGTGGACATCGCACAGATACTACCTACTTTCAAAATAAAACGGAGTCAATATAGTCAGCACTTTACAAAGCCTCACACAATTCCCATATTGCCCTCCTATTTACAAGTTTTGCATATAGCGCAACTATGCGCCTAGGAGACTCGTCAAATTGAGGAAAGTTACTTGAAGCTCGAATCTGATTCACCTGAATATCAAACAATTCCTGGAAAACGAGTTAGTTTCTTTTTTACTAGTGGAAAGTATTTTCAGAATTTTTTTTTTCCTTTAATTTTCTTGATTTGTAACCCTAATTATTATCGCACAAGGTAGGGTTCTTGTTTTTTGAATTCCTGGATTCTTGGGTTAATTGTCACTGTTCGTCTCTCTCATCATATTGATTTCAATATTAAGGTTAGTTTTTCTGGATTTTGTTTGTTTTTGCTCAATCTTTTCTGGGTGAATGTATGGTGATTTAAGTTTTGATAATTGGATTTATATATTTATTGTTGCAATTCTAGTTGTTTTACTCAACTTTTCTGGGTTCATTTGTTTTAGCTCATATTGGCTGTAATTTATACTGGGTAAAATGTAGTATAAGATTCGGATTATGTAGGTTTGGAAGTTCTATTCATTGATCAATTAAGAAGAATACTAGAAAAAAGAGTTGAGGATGTTGCAATCTAGATTTCAATTGGGTTTAGTTTAGTTTCTTGTTTGAGTTGACATAATTTGATAGTGGGCAAATTTATAGAGACAAATTTTGATGGTTGAGACTGATCATATAGTATTGATTTGGGACTATATATTTTGTTTGACTCTTGGCCCGGCTTGTGTTACCCTCCTCCAGCCTGGATTGTGAATTTGTGAGGATGTAATAGAGAACATACAGGCTGAACTGAGCTCGGGTATCGGCTGCATTACTATAAATCTAATTTGCACACACATGAAGTTTATGATCCCAAATAGTTTTTGTTATGAAATGGGAGCTATGTGGTGTTTTCGGCGTTTTTCTTCTATTACCTTGCTGATTTCACACATTACCATAGCCTATCTTTTTTGCTGAGTAAACTTGACAGTCAATCAACCTCATGAATTATTCTATTTTAAACCAAGATTTTTTTGCTGGTTTTCGCCACCATTCTACGTATGCTAAACAGTTTAAGTAATCTTACAAATTCTATCTTAGCTATTTTCAATTTTCATGGCCATTACCAGTCTTCATAGATAACACTACAGGTTCTTTTTCATGCTTAAAGTAAAGTATGGTGATCTCTGATTCTCTGTTAACCTTGTTTGTGATGTACATTTCATTCTGCAAATTTGTGATATTGAGGGGTTGAAGCTATTACTTTTCCTTACTTTTGGCTTCTTATATACGAAGTATTATTTGGGGATCTGATCTAAGGGGAAGAGATATTTGACACATTTTGTGAGAAGTTAAGCTGCGTTTGAAACGAGAAGTAAAGTTACTTAATAAATCAATTATATTTCTTTTCGACTGCCTAATTGATAGTTATGATTTTGTATCCACAAACTATTGTTTTGTTAATATTAGTGGTTGGACACCAAAAATTGATACTTGAAATTCTCAATTTGAAGGTGTAACTGGCCTTGTTTGAGTGTTAATTTGAAAAATGGGAAAGGCTAAGGGTGGTGCAATATTTATCAGGCTCGTCTCGTCGGCTGGTACTGGATTCTTTTATGTAACAAAGAAGAACCCTAAGAAGGTTCCAGAGAAGCTCGAGTTCCGTAAATTTGATCCTCGAGTTAATAGCCATGTTTTGTTTACTGAAGCCAAAATGAAATAGGCACGATAACATACTTCATTTTGCTTTTTTTTTTTTTTTTTTTTTTTTTTTCTTTTTTAATTTTTTTTTTATTCTATGCTTTTTTTTGGCAGTGGCTGACTGGCTGGTGACAATAACCTAGATTGATTTCAGAGTTGGAAGTTCTTATTGTGGTTTCTAGTTATAGTTGAGTTGTAAAACCATGAATCTATGCTTGGAAGTACAACTTACTTTACAGTATGCTGTTGTTTGGAATTCTGGAATTCAATTTTAGTTAGCTCTTAGCATCAAATATCTAATATTTGCCGTCCTTCAATTGAGTTATCTGCTAGAAGTGATGGAATGTCATTCGTTTTCATATGTTTTTTGTGATTGTTGCTCATTATTGTAGATACTTAATTACTGGTAAGGCTTAGAGAGGTTTTCGCTGGAGTCGTAATTACAAATGATAAATGTCATCTCTTCTTGTTAGCTTTTGGACATTACCCTCAACCTCAGGCTTTGCCAATTGCAGGATAATGCAAGCATTCTTTCCCTGAGCACAACAATTTGATAAATACAATAGCTTTTCTCGCTAGCTTAAGTTAGGCCTAGTATTTCTTTTATTTTGGTGTATGATGTCGAGTTTTTGGTAACATAGGTTTTGGTGTGGGAGCTTGATTGCATGCTAAGGTAGTTCACTTAAGAAATTTGGGACCATGAAGCACTACTTCACTTATGAAGCTTAGAGTTAGCAATTGCTAACCCTTGTGAGGTTAAGTTCAAGCCTTCATAAGTTTTGTTGAGTGGCACGTTATAGATCCTTGGCAATTGCATTCTTTAATCTAGAACTAGACTCCTAGCTCCCAAAATCGCAACCGAGCCACTTTAGGAAAAGGGAAAGATTTTGTGACTCCACTTTATCTAGGATTAGATTTTCCATTTTTTGTAAATTTAGTATTTTGTGAGAATAAAAGTATTTTACATCTCATGTCCCTACAAATAAAATTTTCATAGTAATTAAGAATTAAATTGGGAATCAAAATTACAAAAAAAAAACTCCATAGTTGATTTTACATCTCGAGCTCCCTGACTCCACCTGATTTTCATGAAATAGTGATTTGATTTACAACAAAATTACCAAATCTATCATCTAATTTTAAATTCGTTGAAGTGACAACAATAATAATCTGTAGATAGACAACAATCTCGATTAATTCACATCTATTGTGTTACCATAATTGAACATCTATTGCATACATATATATTTCATTAAAAAATTTAGATCATGTACCTTTCCGATCTAAAATAAAAATATATTCCATAATGGAAAATTTTTGGAGAGTTTTTCACTTGACGAAACAAAGGCTATACAAAAATCCATTCATGATCATCTTATACCAAAAAGTTGAATTGAAGACATTTCCATAAATAGCAGCATAATTTTCCTACTCAATCTACTCGATTCTAACTGATGATGTAAACACCCTACCTGCAATATTAACAAGAAAAAGGTCAAGAAAAGAGCAGCACATTTAGTCTAAATCACTCCATAAGAAAATTTGAACGCAATTTTATGTGCTACATTCCTACATAGCATAACCAGCATAACAAAGTTTCCAGCATTACGTACAATTTTGAACAACAATTCAAACGGACAATTCAATCCATTATTAACATGATACTGGCTTTTATGGTCGAATTGAACAGGACGATCACACCATTCACACCCAAGGTCTAGAATAGCCTATAGCTCATATGGTACGCCGTAACACACTTACCACCATTTATTGTTGCCTACCAAAATAGGCGTAATTGCGCAAGTGATTCAATAACACACAATGGAAAACTGAACATAGAACTACATAACATCAGAGCATGCATCAAAAAGTTTGCAATGCAGAAGAATCAGTTTAAAAAAAAAAAAGCAACATATTCTACACCTATATTTCTTATTTATAGCATGATTTCCAAAGAACTACATAACATCAGAGTATGCAGCAAAAGTTTGCATTGCAGTAAAATCAGTAATATAAAAGAAGCATATTATACCTAAATTTATATTTTAGAGCATGATTTCCTAAGAATTGCAAGAGCTTCTTAATCTGTACCAGAATCTTGCCCACTTCCCCTTATAATATAAACCTGCATTTACAAAATAAGATATTTCATCAAAAAATTTTGTTATATAATGAACAAAGGTTTAAGTTGTGCAAATTTTAGATTCACCTTTAAAACTGAGCTACTGATCACTTGAAAAATAACAGCATCCCCATCAACAAGTTCATGAGACTCAGCAAAACCTTTCCAGCCTCCACTAAGACCACGCTTTCGAGCCAAATAAACAACTGGATACTCTTCATTTTCTTCATCTACCAATGTCACCATTCCATCATTTGTAGGTAGGTTCCTCCGGCAAAAATCAGTAGGGAGACCCTGCAGTAAACGGCAGTATAAAATGTCATATTTACCAAACTAACACACTAATGTTTAATTTCATATTATTGAAAACAGCATTTTAACAACCCAACACACATATCTACACTTAAAAGGTTGTGACACAAACAAGTGACTCGACATAAGATGGGATAATGTACACTACCTTGTATGTCCAGAATTAATAGTCACATATGCTAATTACTTGTATTAGTTAGTACACACTTGTTGAAAAGTAAATCAACTAATTCTAAGAGGATACAAATAAAATACAATTTGCACATAAATTAAAATGGTTAACTTGTAAAATCATGTCATATTCTTAAATATTAGAGGTCCAAACAATATGACCAACAACTAATTTCACAATCGAAGAACTTGTCTCAGAGTCAAAACGTGTCAACAAAACATAAAACATGGACTAATAATTGAAGAAAAAAAACAAGTTACCAGCCAAAAACCACCAGTGACATGAGAAGGAAGCATGGGTCTAACAAGAGTAGGAAACCCCTCTTCTTCAAGCTTAGCATTCAGCTTCTCTGCTTCTTCAATTGCATATTCTCTCACATCATCACTAGCTATTACTCGATTCGTAAAATCCCTTGCTTTCACTACTCCATAACTCCTACATACATTTACAATTACCCCATCAAAAAAATGTAAATTTATTTTACTTTTTTATTTTATATTTTTAATAATAAGCACATCAAATTTCACTGAAAAATTACATTAATGAACTCACTTTCTAGGTGAAGAAAATCTAGGTAATGAAATTTCAGCATAAACAGGGGCAGGATTACTTGCAACTCGAGCAGATCGTCTCACTTCAACTGTTTGTTTATCAAATATACGAGGCTTACCAACCTTCTTCATCTGCCCATTTCACAAAAATCCCAAAAAAAACAAATATAAGTAAGTCAACCTCTACATAATAACACATGAACAAAACCCCGAGTCAGGATTTAACATTACTAGTTCAAATTACACTATTAACGTGACAATTAATGGTAATACCGGAGACGATTTGGGGGAAAGAGTTTTCAGAGCTTGAGAAAGATGAATGAGGTTGAGATCTTCCAAGCGTTTCTTGTTCTCTTCCACCCTCTTTTGGCGACGCTCTTCATATGACGTTTTTCCAATCCCCATTTTTTTCCTTACAATGTTTGTTTTTTTTTAGAATTGTAAGAGAGAAGAGAGAAAATGGAGAAATAGAAGGGTGTGTGTATATATATTGAAATGAGAGAGAATTTGTGAATTTGAAAAATGTGGAGGAGTCGACCGTTTGAATGGCAGTGTTTAGTGAAGTGTGAAGTTGAGTCACTGTAGTTGAGATTGTGGGTTGTGACACGATTGATGATGCAGAGTATTAATTTTCTGATGACAGGGAAACGTTCCGCTTTTCTTGGAATGTGGGCTGTTTTGCCTTCAATTAGTGACTAGGCCTGGTTATTGGGTAGGGCTATCCAATGGCAAAAGGGTCGGGCCTAATACTAAAGGATTTTGACCCTTTAATTTTTTAGTGAATAGGGCTTTTATAGGGTCTTATTTTATAGTGTTTTTATAGAGTTTTCAATTAGAAACCAATAATTTAAGAATTAAAATAAAAAATCCAATAATAATGGTAAGGGGTCAGCCCCACTCACCCCTTCTCTGACTTAACCCCAATAATAATTTCCAGAAACCTTTCTCTCTCCTCCATTGAAGCACACTCAGAGTTCTCCATTGAAGCCGCTTCTCAGCTTCTCAGGTATCATCATTTTCTCTCTCTTAATTTGTTCTTCAATTTTGATTCATGTTTTTTTTTTTGTTAATGTTATTGATATTTGTTCCTTATTTGTCTCGAATTATTGATTATTATTCCTGTTGTAGTTATATAATTCTACTGTAATGAGAGCCATCAAAATAAAAAAAAAAAGTAGTAAAGATTTGCTTGGCAGTGTGTAGATTTCCACTAAAAACATTTGAGGTAAGTTAATTTCGATTATTTTGCTATATGATTCGACATAATTGTTCAATTTTTTTTAACATTTTTGGGTAAAATTTGTTCTTTGAATTGATATAATCAACTGTGGGTTTCGATTGATACAACATGTCAATTTTAGTTTCGCTTTGAATGTGTTGATTAACCACATTTTTTTACGAAAATTTAGGTTAAATTATCGAATTAGCTTTAATCTCTGTGTTTCTCATATGCAATTTAAGCAATGTTCACTGTTTTGATGTTTTCATATTCAAATTTCGATTTACTTGATCTATGTTTTGCTCGAAGTTTCGATTTCACTATATAATATTTATCATCAAACTTTTAAATTGTTGATCATTTATGCATTACGCTGATGCTTGATCTCTGATATCCAATCTTTTTTTTGTCTGATTCAAAATAGTACTTATAATTGTGCAGTGTGTTCCTTAATATGGATGATGATACTACTACTACTTCTACGGCATGTGATGATGGATATAATGAATACATCGCTCCTCAACGAAAGAGAAAGAAGAGGTCTAAAGTTTAGAGAGAGCTTATTGAAGGGAATAATATTCAAGGTGAGAGAATTGCTACATGTGTACATTGTAATTCTATTTTATCTGCACATCGTGATAGTGGTACATCTCATTTGAAGCGTCATTTAGAGAGGTATGCAAATAGGCCTCTAGGACTTACATTTGAGGAAGATAGTGATGAAGAAAATTTTGTTTTTGACATGAATGAACTTCAAAAAGAGATTCTTAATTTCATTGTTGAGGGAGGTCATTCATTCACTATGGTTGAAAAACAAGGATTTAGGAGAATGATGAAAGAGCTACTCCTAAGTTTATACCATTTGGCCGTGCAACTACAAAGAGAGATTTATTGAAGGCTTATGTATTAGAGAGGGATAAATTGAAAGATTTGTTGTCTAATGTTTCGGGTTTAATTTATTTAACAACCGATAATTGGAAATCAAATCATACTAGACAACATTTCATTTGTGTTACTTCTCACTTTGTTGATGATTCATGGAAACTCCGGAAAAAAATTCTTAGGTTTAGGGTCTTGGCTCCTCCATATGATGGGGTAAGTATTACTAATGAGATTTGTATGTTTCTTTGCCAATGGAAATTAGATGATAGGATACTCTCTATCAACGTTGATAATGCAACTTATAATGATGCAATGATATCTTGTTTGAAGAGACGTCTTGTTCCTAGAGGAGGGTTAAGTTGTGGTGAGATTGTTTCATGTGCGGTGTTGTGCCCATATTAAAGGATTGACTTGTATTAGTGGAATTTTGGATAAAATTCATTCATTTATAAAGTTGATCAACAAATCTTCTCATAGAAGTGAAGAATTCTATGATTGTGCGGAGAAGATATTTCACCTTGATGTAAAAAGGAAATTGAACCTTGTTATGCATGTTCGTTGGAATTCCACGTATAAAATGCTTGGCACTTCTCTTTACTTCAAAGATGTTTTTCTTCACTTGAGATCTAGTCATGCTTCATTTCAATCATATATTCCTTTAGAGGATGAGTGGGAAAAAGCAAGCGTGATTCACAATTTTTTGGAGTTGTTTTATGAGGTTACTTGTATGTTTTTGGCGGTGAATCCTATTTCTAATGTGTATTTTAAAGGTGCATGGATGGTGCATCGCCATTTTCTTGAGGCAGAGAAAGGTCCTTATGATTATTTAAAGGAAATAGTGAAACCAATGCTTGAAAAATTTGACAAGTATTGGTCGGATTGCAATTTGTACTTGTCATGTGCCGCCATTCTTGATCCGAGGTATAAAGTGAAATTTGTGGAATATTGTTTTAGTAAGTTATATGGAAGTGTAGAGGCCTCAAGACAAATTAACTTGGTGTTGGGAACTATGAAGTCAATGTTTGAGGATTATAAGTTGCAATATGCTAGTAGTTCTCCTATTATAGTTGCTCCTTCTCCTCCTAGTACTTCCGGAGCTAGAAACTACTTTGATGATTATGACCATTTTGTCAGTACTAGTGCAAGGTCTCAAGTAGGAAAGTCACAACTTGAGATTTACCTAAATGATGATGCTTTAGATCTAAATTCACAATTAGATATTTTAGAGTTTTGGCATCAAAGTTCTGTGAGGTATCCTGTGGTATCTAAGATGGCACGGGATTTGTTGACTATTCCTGTAAGTATTGTAGCTTTGGAGTCTGCTTTTAGTATTGGAGGAAAGACTGTTTTGGCATCGCGAAGTTCATTAAAGTCAAAAACAATTCAAGCTTTAGTATGTATGCAAGATTGGCATCGTGAAAGCAATCAAGTAAAGGTTGATAGTAAACTTGAAGATGAAATCATTGAAGAAGAAAAGGATGATGATGCAGACCCTTTCTGCTAGGTAATATTCTCATATTCATTTCTCTAGCCTAGAATACAGTAAGGAAAGACAACCTTCATTTCTGAATTGCCTGTATATACCCTTCAATGTTGTTTCTGTTTAATACTAGGTTAGTCTAAATGCTGTTTTTCCTAGAAGTTCCTGTATATACCCTTCAATGCTGTTTCTGTTTCACACTAGGTTAGTTTGTGCCTAGCTTGCTGCTCCTGTTGCTTGCCTTTGTTTCTTTGGCAGTGTTGCTGAATTGGTGCTGCTGCCAAGATTTTGTGCTTGTTGGTGGGTCTATTTGGTTGGCTTGCTTGCCAGCTTGCAGTGTTGTTGATAATTTTGCTTTTGGGATGCTGCTGGATGCTTCTTGCTGGGTTGTTGTCTCTGTTGATAAAGCAAGTTAGTTCATTCATGGTTTAATAATATATTTTTAACCACTAATGTCCCCACTCTTTCATACTTTATTATTTCTCACTCCTCCAATGGTCCCCACTCCCTCTCAACCCACTTTACTTTTCAATAAAATAATAACCTTATCTACCCTACTAACATCTTATTTTATTAAACCTCCTAATACTCCGTGTAATCAAATCTCTAGCTTTTAAAAAAACGGAGGGAGTATGAGATTTCCAAAAATAGAACTCTAGCTTATAAAAAAACGGACAAAAATAGTAACTCTAGCTTATAAAAAAATGGAGGAAGTACTAATATGCGTTTTCTAGTGTTTTCGTAGCTTTGGAATTGTTTTATAGGAAATTAGATGAAACCCGTGCAATGCACGGTTTGTTCGATTTTTTAAAAACTATATATATATATATTTTTTTTTTTGTATTTATGTGCTAAAAATTTGTTACATATTTAGATAAAATTCCTAATATCAAAAGATAATATTTTATATTTAATTAATTTAAACTTAAAAATCTCATTCCCCAATTTCGCTTACGTGACATTTGAACTATTTAATTCTGAAAGAAATTAATAATCTCTTATTTAATTGGCTACCACTAAAATTTATAATCCTATATGGCGCGCTAAGAAAATTAAATCCTATGTGGCTCTCTAAAAACCCGGGAAAAAACTCCCCTTTATATATATATATATTAGATTGCGAATTTTGAGGCAGTTTCTGGGATTATTTAACCAGTGCGAGAATTGGACATGGAGTGCACTCTTATGATAATTTTTCGAATCCTAAGACCTTGTTAGAGTAATTGAGACCGATGATTAAGGGCTCGGTGAAGAGGAAGAAGCCGAGGCAACGGACCGAAACTATAAAGGTCCAAGAAAGAGCTTGAGATGGGCCACCCAAGAAGCCCAAATCGAGAGGTGCTATGCTCAATACACTCGCCGAACCGGGCGAGAGAGTGAAGAAGTTCATTACCCGATGAGCTCACCCATCCGGGCTTGAGAAAGGCTTTGAAGATTTGGAGGCGCGCCCGGCCGGGCAGTCAGGAGCCCTACCGAGCGCGCGTTTCTTCATGTAATTTTGAAGCTCGTTTTATTTCTTTTATTTTAGGAAGTTTTGGATTAGTATAAATACGCTTTGTTAAGCGTGTTGATGGACTTCATTCGTGAGCTTAATTCTAGATTTTTAGTTTAAGATTTTCTAGTAGATTGTTCTCTCAAGATTGTTTACACTTTGGTTTATGCAATTCATATTTTCCCTTTTTTCGGTGACGATTTCTTCCCTTTTATTTCTATTGATTTTATTGTTTGATTTAATTATGTCTTCTTTAATTTCTTTGGTTAGTTTAGATTTAATTATGTGTGAGTAGTTTATTTCTAGGATTCTTGGGGATCCGTAAATAATATGAAGGGATGAATAATTATTGTTGATGCTTTGAATTAATTTCCTATTGATTGATATATTGCTACGCGATTAGATTAGTGCTAGTTTAATTGTATGAGTTATGTAATATTGATTCGAGATTTGACTGATGAGAATTGATGTTAAGGCTTAGTTTCAATATGTAGAATTAATTTATAAATGGTTAAGTCAAGATTCGAGAGATGCGATTTACACTACAACAAATCATCACTTGTGCCACGAATTATGCCACGAGAATTCCAATTTCGTGGCATAATTTCATCTAGCCACGGGAAAAATGAACTATAATACAAAACCTAAATAAGAAGAATAATTTATGCCACGGGTATTTATTTTCCCGTGGCAAAAATCACATTTGTTCCATGAGTAGTTCTTTTTCCCGTGGCAAGCTTAACATTTGTGCCATGAGTAGTTTTTTCCAGTGGCAAATTTTACACTAGTGTCACAAGTAATAATTTTCTTGTGACAAACGTACTCTTATGCTACAATTTTTGCTAGAATATAAAATTTTTATAGCTAGATCTATTCATGTCAGGGAAAACGAGGAAAGCATAGCATACAATAACTTTACTAGGAATAAAAATTTATTTGACAATTAAATTAGGTACCACGAATTGGTCATATTACATCGTTTTTCTTTAGTTCTAAACTTGAAGATATTCCATAAGCACTAATTGATATAGAGTAGAACATTAAATATAATACAAATTAGAGGTCGAATATATTTATAATTCTAATACACACTTAAATTTTCTATATAAATATGCTTGGGTCTTTTTTTCCCCATGCAATAATGCCAACAAGTGTATCACTAATCATTAGTAGAAAAATTCCAAAAGACACCAAAGGAATACACTGGTTTTATGAAAACTTCGGTCCCTAAAATTAAAATAAAATAAATTAAAATCCATGATATAAGAGATGGATTTTTTTTTTGTTTGCCTTTATATATATCTATTTCTAATATACACTTAAATTTTTCTTTATAAATATGTTTTTTATTTATTTATTTATTTTTTTTTATCACTATTCAGAGTAGTCACTAGTAAAGATTTTTGTAAAGACACCGAAGGAAGACACTAATTTTATAAAATCTCAATCCCTATCATCTATGTTATTAGTGCCATATCAGCAGTCGAGTGATAAGTCAATATAAACAATTATGGTTATTACTCGTACATAATACACTTTTAATAACTGAAAAAAGGGAAGATTATTTTCATTCAAGATATTGTTTTCAAAAAATTTCAACATAGAAATAAATGAAATTTTAATATTGTTTCCTTTTTGTAATTGATACTTCGTGTATTAACACAGATGCATTCACAAATGACTACTACGAGTGTACGGGTAAATGTTTCAGTTAGGGGTGAGCATAACTGGGTACCCTGTTAAATTTCTTAGAACCTGAACCTGTTGCAACAGGTTCCTAAAACTGAGAACCAGAACTGGAACCTATTGAACAGGTTCCTGAAAATTGGGAACCAGAACCGAAATCTGCGATTCCTGACAGGTTTCGGTTCCGATTCAGGGTACCCTGAATTTTTGCTTACCCTTAGTTTCAACAACAGTCATTTTTTTTTTAATCTATTGCATACAAGTATTATCAAATGATTTAATTTATTTCTATTTAAAAAAATGATTTAATTTATTAAATATATAACCCTTAAAAGCCAAATTCACTCAAGTTGGTTTTGCTTTTTGAGATTTGCTTATGAACAGTAGTGTTTCGGATTTGCCCTTCATTTTGGCTGTCCAAAAAGTATATTTACGAATTTGTCCTCTGTTGTAGGTCATGCATGCAACGTGCCATTTTTAGGCTGCCAAGTAATCATGTGTGCTGGTCTTCCCTTTGCCACGTCAACCTTGGTGTTGTTGTTGAAGCAACTACTTTGTGGAGTAGTGTTCACACAATTTACTTGTATATTAGTTACTTTATCATAGGTTAATGTAATTAGTTATATTTAAAGGCTTTAGTTCATGTACTTTGTTTCGTTCTTAGCCTATTTGGCTGCTAAGCTTAAATTAGTTGTATTTGATAAAGAATTATGTAGTTCGTATTAACTTATTAATCTTATTGTTCATCTTCTTGATTTGCTTATTAATTGTTGTTGTTTGCATTATCTTCACTTCCTATTGTGGATGTACTAATTATTTTTGCTATTTTCTCTTCCTATTGTGGATGTACTAATTATTTTGCTTATTAATTGTTGTTGTATTAAAATTGTTTGCATTATCTTCTCTTGCTATTGTTGATTTACTAATTATCTTTGCTATTAGTGTTGTTTTGATAAGGCAAAGCCTGAATTGCTAAATTAAAATAGCTATTCCTTTTTCCTTTTCCAGTCAGAGTGTGTTCAGGGTTCAAGAAGGTGTTGCACCTGATTAACCGTTGGTTAAAAGAGGGTTATTTCGGATTTAAGAGTGTAACACCAAAACTGACGGCTTGCATTTGATTGTTTGCTGGTTAAAGCTTTTTACCCAATGGATTATAATGTGCAATACCAAAGACCAATGCGCATGCTTCTTATTACGCATTTTAAGATGTATTTGACGGTTTGGGGTATGTTGTATAACACATGTTTAAGATGCTTAGTAAGTTGGTTTTAGCTGGCAAGTTCACATTTCTAGATGTATATAAAGGGGCGTGCTGTTATTGTTCTTCTTCAACCAAAAAAGATGCAGGAAAAACCTTAAATGGAAAAGAAAAGGAGAGAAAACCTCCAATTGAGGTAGTGTTTAAGGGTTCCCTGGCATTTGTTCATCTATTAAATATTGGATTTTAATTTAATAATGTCCACTATTTATGCCTTACAATTGCTTCACATTGTATAAACTTACCATTGTACGAAGCTTTGATATAACAACATGGATATTATACAAACCACAGACTACACTAATTGATAGCAGATGATTTATACTGACTTGGACATATACTATGGACTGCTGTTTAATTTTGTTTGAATAATTTGTATGACTTTATGGCTTTAAGGCATGACTGTTCTTAACTGTGGTCTGTTTGGGTTTTAGGCCAGAATTTGATATACGCTTAATGTAAAAAGCTTGAGTCTTGTTGTGATAATTGCAGATTTAAAGAATGAATGTTGATCTTTAGGTAGTGTGGAAAAATAGATATTTTTTACTTGGATCTTAAGATTGTAGGAGATTTGATGCTTAAAGCAATATAGAATTGTTGTTTTTTTTATGTTTTTGTTTGATATGATCTTGTTTTAAAGCCTTGGCCTTTTCAAAATTCTATATACTTTCTTGGAATGAAGATTATTGTTCTAGACAAATCGCTTTTCTTTTGATCATTCTGGTTTTGTTGTTTAAGAAAAAATGAAGATTTGAAGGTGATTTGGAAAAACAAATGTTAGTTGCTTGGATGTTAGGATTGTAGAAGATTTAATGTTTAAAGCAATATAGAATTGTTGTTTTTTTATGTTCGTTTTTGATATGATCTTGTTTTATATGCTTTAGCCTCTTTGAATCAGTAGCAAAGAGTGCTGGTTGCTAATTATGTATAAATTTACTTGGAATAAAGATTATTTGTCCGGACAAATTGTTTTTCTTTTGTTGATCCTGGTTATTGTTTTTTGTCGTCGTTATAAGCAACTAAAATCAAAGCTTGCTTCTTCCTTGTGATGCAGGATCTATTGTAAGTGTTCATGCTTAATTTATGCTTGATAGAGGGTCATATTTTATGCTATGCTTGTAATAAATGTTGTTTATATAGAAAGTTTTTAATAAAAAAAACATGTGTTTGTTCTGGTTCAGTATGCTGGTGTTGTTTGTTATACAACTATATTGTTACCCTATTGAGCTGTTTGTTGTGGTATATGATGTTAGTTTTGTTTGTTGATAGTTGATTCAGTATGGCCATTTACTTTATTGTTGCTTGTACATATGTGGTGCATAGAATTTTATGATTTACTTGCTATATATGTTCTTTATTTGGGTTGTTTTTTTAGAAAATGCATGTATTTATTCTGTCTGGAAATGGCCTTGTTTGTTGTTGTTGATTTTTGATAATCTGTTGTAAGTTAGTCCTGCTTACTAAATGAAATCTAATATGGTGCAGCTTAGTTGCTTGTTATGTAGTATGGTGTTGGTTTTGTTTGTTGTTGGCTGATCTAGCATGTCTGTTTACTTTATTTTTGCCTGTGAATATATGGTGCATAGCTTTATGTTTTTTAGGATTGGAAAGGGTAGCCTGGTTAGGATTTAGGTATAATTGTCAGAAATATTAGGATGTAGCAAATGCAATGTAAGGTTATTATTAGTTGCGGTTACATACTATAGTAACCTATCTTCTCATGGTATACATTGGTCGTGCGCACAGGTAATGGGGGCAGAGCCATGCAAAATTGCCATATCTTTCCAGTGTTTGCTGAACAAGGTTGTTGGTTACCTAAAGTTGACAACTCCTACTTACAGCTTGGCTGGTGAAGTTGAAAAATGCTGTCAACCTTACCCTGGTGACTGATTGTCCACTGTCACCCTATATCATTGAGGGGTCCTGCTGTAACACTCGATGCTTCTTATGGGAAGGTTGCTGAGCTAACTGTTTGCTTCCTCTGGGCGGAGTATGGCCTGCAGATTGATGATTTGACAACAGAAAATATTTTCAAGCACGAGCGATGTGCTTTCTTATATGAGATAAAGCGCATAGCCTTGGACTCATTGAACAAACCTGCACAAAAGAGCTCAACTAAGTGGCCTGTAATCCCAGTAAAAAAAAAGGGTGACAAATATATCTACATTGATTACATTGATGTTCTACGTATACTTGCGATAGGAACTAAGGCTAGGGTTTCTGCTGTTGAGGTTGCTGAGCTTGCTGCAGATAAGTGGGTGTCTTGGTTGACTATATAAACTACTAATAGCGTTGGAATCGAGTGCATTTACAGCTTTGTGGTTAGCGTGGTTCGCACTTGCAAGGCTGCAACAAGAAGAGCTGTGAAGTTCCTCCGTGCTTTTTACAATGTTAACATAGTTGATCTGAACTATGGAGAGGAAGTGCTTTTTGGCATTAAGTGCTCATTAGCTAGGGAAAGCTACATGTCTGTTAGGGAACGCGTGCTTGGTAAACAAGGAGATTTGCATCTAACTCCTTTCTTTCACTACTAAAAAATGGGTCTTTAGTATCAGAAATTAATTGATACTAAAGAGTGACTTTTCGATATTAAAAATCATTAGTAAACAGATATATATTCCAATACTAAACTGATACTAGTACCTCCTAGCTAATATGTTGGTATCATTTCTATAATCCGATTCTAAAAAGGGTTGCCTATAGTATCAGAAATAGCAATAGTATCAGTTAATTAGTAACTAAAAATCCGATACAACTATTATATCCAATGGTATCAATGTTCTTCTGTTACTTTACATATACTATGGTGTCGGAAATAACCGATAAAAAAGTGTTGGATCATTAGTATCGACTTGGTTTCTGATACTAAACAACCCTATAGTGTCTGAAATTATTGTTACCATAATACTTTCCTTTTTTGACAATTGCTTTAGTAACAGAATTTTCCGATACTAAAGAGAGAAATTTGTAGTGAAAAAATGCATTATTATCATAAAAACTTGATACTTTAGTATCAAATTCTTTAGCATCACTATTAACTCACATCCCTGTTAAGCTTATATATATGATTATTTAAAATTTAATACACAATACAAATACTTGAACAAAAGGAATATTTTTACTATTTATCCATAAGTTCTCATAATAGAGTTTTAGTACAAAAAGTTGGTGCATGCATACTAATATAAACAAAGTGTTTTTACATCATCACCACCACCATTTATGATATAAGAAGTACAATAATAGCATAAAGTTTTCTCAACAAATGTACAACGCAACTACTTGATTTCAAAAAAAGATCTATGCACCTGCATGAACAATCTTCAAGCTTGGATATTCTAATTCATCACTGGGTTTTAGCTGTAAATACCAAAAAAAAAAAAAAAGAAAAAGAAAAAAAGAAGCTATACATATAAGAGAGCGGCAAAAGAGAGTAAACATAAGTCGCACGACAAACAGCTCATAAGTAGCACCACAAAACTACCTCTAATCAACCCACAAAACTACAGCAATGTGACAACCAAATATGACCCAAAAACCTCAATACATTGACAATTCAAGCTATTTAACAACTTGAAATAACACACTCAATTACATTTGAAACAACAATAGTGTAATCAAAATAGTAGCAAAAGAGCGGCAAAAGAGAGTAGTAACATCATAATATATATATTTGTTTTGAATAATGGAGTAAAAATGGTAAAACATACCTTGATTAGATTGCATGTGGAGAACCAATTTCTTCAATGTCTGCATTTCTTCTTCCAAAGCTTCCTTTTCCTTATTTCACTTAACATATGTTCTAGCTCCTTTCTTTTATCAGCTTCTATCGAAATTTCTTGCTCCAATTCTAGCCTATTTTGCTTTTCTATCTCCACTTCTTCTTCCAAGGCTTTTCTTTTCCTCACTTCTTCTTCAACCATATGTATTGCTTTAGTGTTGTGGTACATAGAGCTACCTTTAGTTGACATTTTCACACCAATTCCATACGTACGCTTGTACCCACGCTTATCTTCTGCAACAACAAGCTCAAATATTTTGTCTCGCTCACTAACAATATCACAATCAGGGGCAAGCTTCTCTTTATGGTTTTTCACTGAAGCCTACAAAGGTCTCTACATAGTTATTATACGGCAAAACATATCTAGAAAGTGTAAAAAATAAAAAATAAAAAATTATTATACATACAAGCTTCATCTCAGAAATTGGATCCACTGGTTTCTTTTTTTGCGTCACTATAAGCCTTTTCAAAGACCTTAAGGCGATCAGGTGTTTCACCATCCTCCGCTGTCTAAAAATAAATTTAAGTTACATATTGAAGATGATAATATTGTATTAAGAGTTGATGTTTAGAATAGTTAAATTTACCATTTCCTCTCTTAAAAGAGCCAAACTTTTTGTGCCCAAGTGATGTGTCATTATAGACTTCATGCGATTGTCAAAATTTCTCTTGCTACAATCCTATTTTTTACAAAAGAAAATATAAGTATAACATCATATTCAAGAAAATTTCAGTAAACAAACTCAAAGGGATTGATTACATATACCTTTCCTTCTTTTGACTCCCACCTATGCACTATATTTGCCCACTGGTCAGGATCAACTCTATTATTAGGTGGCACCAACAACTCTTCTAAAGATTTTTCTTCTGGTTTATAATATTTCTTTTTAAGTTTTGTTCTCCATGATCTAAGGCAATTATCAATCTTTAGGATAAAAAACAACCTTCTAGAGAATTCTAGAAGCTAATAATAAATCCTAAGGGATTTAGGATAAAAAACAACCTTCTAGAGAATTCTAGAAACTTATAATACATCCTAATTGGATTAGGAATGAGGTTAAGATTAACAGACACTCCACATGGTCATTGGGTCGCACGTAATGCTTGGTTCGGGCTCGGTTTAGTATTTTAGCCATAACTTCTTCGTTATAAGTCGGATTCAGGCTTGTAATATATCGTTCGAAAGCTCTTTTCAATATTTTCAAGATCCATCCAACAATACAATTATTGGACCAGGATTATGGACCAAAATAAACTAGTTTGGACGTTTTATAAAGAGGACACGAAATGAATGACTTTGGTTTAAAACATTTAGGGAAAGGTTAGAAATGGTCAAGGCTAAACAGAACTTCACAAGACTCTTCAACTCACCTTACTCGATAATCAAAGACGTGAAAGGTACTCATCACTGGTTTTGGTTTTTGGGGAGACACAATCAGGTATTTATAGAAGCTCCCACTTTAAGTTTCGAAAACAAAAGTCAAAGTAGATCGATAGGGACGGAGAATGATTCAGAACGTTCTGCGATCCTAAATGATTCTTTTAACGTCGATACATGCAGAAAAGCGCTAGTTCTACAAATAAAGGAGTTAGAAGTGCGTATCTTGCACCGTCAGGTACATACCTCTAGGTGACATCTCGTTGGATCAAATTTGTTTTGTTTGACAACCTCCACAATCTTAGCGAATGCCGTTGAAGATCGCCACATCACGTGCCATCTTCTCAAATCAAGTGACAACCCCCATAATCTTAGCGAAAGCCGTCGAAGACCGCTACATCACGAACCGTCTTCTCAATCTAGGTGACGACCTCCACAATCTTAGCGAAAGCCGTCAAAGACCGCTATATCACGAGCCATCTTCTCACATCAAATGATAACCTCCACATCTTAGCCAAAGCCGTAGAAGACCGCTACATCAAGAATCGTCTTCTCAATCTAAATGATAACCTCCACAATCTTAGCAAAAACCGTCGAAGACCGCTACATCACAAACCGTCTTCTCAAATCAGGTGACAACCTCCATAATCTTAGCAAAAGCCGTCGAACACCACTACATCACGAACCGCCTTCTCAACTTAGGTGACAACCTCCGCAATCTTAGCAACGCTGTCGAAGACCACCTCACCTCGAGTTGTCTTCAAAAATCAGGTTACAACAACCACAATCTTAGCGAAAGCCGTCGAAGACCGCTACATCACGAATCGTCTTCTCAATTCAGGTGACAACCTCCGCAATCTTAGGGAACGCTGTCGAAGACCACCTCATCTCGAGTCATCTTCAAAAATCAGGTGACAACCTCCGCAATCTTAGGGAACGCTGTTAAAGAACACCTCATCTCGAGTGGTCTTTAAAATCTTCTCGTCTTCACATCTTGGAAGTGATAATCACTACCGTAAAACCTTGTTCCTCAAGGTCTTACCGAGCTTCAAATTGATTTCCATAGAAATCTTCCATCTTAGGAATTTTTTGTGATTATGCTCAATCACTACTCAATCAATGTACTCCACCAATGCTTAGGCGGACTCAACTAATGCTTAGGTGTACTGAAAATGTGCTCAACCAATGCTTAGGTGTTACTCAAATGTGCTTAGCCAATGCTTAGGCGTTCTCAAATATGCTTTGCCAATGCTTAACGTTTTCAATCAATACTCAAATATATTCAGCCAATGCTTAGGCGTACTCAATCAATCAATAAGATGATCGTCATCAGGCCGATCATCAATCAAGTTATAATCAGGCTGACTACTAATCAAATCAAATCATTTATCGCTCATCACAATGCTCAAATGCTCATCAAGAGGCTCAAATGCATAATCAACTGCTTTGGAAAGAATCGATTTCTCATCACAAGGCTTAAGTAGATAATTGTTGTCCAGCAAATCTATCTGCAGTAATTCAAGTCTGGCGTGCCATGTCAAGTTTCATCGTGCGGCGACGGTGCTGTCGCGCCGTGTTAGTGCGTTTCGCGCTGTGTTGTTTCTGTCGTGCTTCGCTGGAATCAAGGTCAGAGTTTTTAAACTCATTCTGCCCGTTCGGCTTCGTTGCTGTTGCTTGTGCCTTTTTTCTCAATCAAATCGCCTCAAATCTCTTGTAAAGGTTACTCGTCCGTCAGGGACTTAGTGTACCTGCGTCTATATTTTGAACTATAGGATTTTTCTCGTGTTTATGATTTTCTTGAGGTTGACCCAAGGCTTGGTGTACTAGACTCATGGTGGTTGATTGGCTTAAGGTTGACTCAAGGCTTGGTGTTCTTGACTCATTATGTGACTCAATGTGTTTTGACACGTGTGTGCAAATTCAACTCGATGTGATGATACGACATGACTTAATGTGCATGACTCGTGTATATAGCGTGTTGACTCAACTCGATGTGATGATACGACATGACTCAATGTAAATGACTCCTTTGTATAGTGTGTTGATTCAACTCGATGTGATGATATGACATGACTCAATGTACATGACTTGTGTGTGCATTGTATTGTGATTGTGCTCGTGCACTTGAAAAAGCAGAAAAAGCAAAAGTTTTCCGTCATTTTTGTGGAGGGTACCGACTTTCTCCTAAAAAGAAAGACGTGAAAATGAAAAGTAGGTAAAGTGTTGGTGAAAAATGAAGTTTTAGGACTTCGTCAAGATGAAAATAGACAAAAATAATGAATCAGGCGATGGTGCATGTCGAATGAGCTTAATCAAGTGTATCTATTGATGTTGTATCTCATGGTGCAAGGATTGTAGCATCCTAGACTATCTCAAGTGATGACTCGATAATGAAAGTATTTGGGTAACCTAGGCACGGAGGCTAATTACTTTATACTTTGTGATGTAATGATGATTATGATAATGAGTGATTCGAAGATGATAAGGCATGCTTCAAAGTTGTATCAAGATTTCATGATAGAGGGTTCCTAAGGGAAGGATTATTTGGCTATGTATGTGTGATGTGTGTGAAAGTGACACTAAGGTTAAGCTGCAAAGGCTAAGGGTGTGGAAAAATATTTTGAGAAGAGTCAAATGGTGACTCTTAGGCTGGGTAGGCTAATAAAGTAGGGATCAAGCCCCTATGTCTAGCTCTAAATGGACAGGGATGAGCATTGGAGATCCCTTGATATGATTATGCATGAATATGTGATGAATGTGATAAATATTTATTACGGCCGCACCCCAATGTGAGGTTGCCTACTTATCCGTTAGGAATCAGGCCGAACATAGCTCTAGCCGAACCTCGCACAAGTGTGTGTATACCTCAAGGAGGTCTTTCAAGGGTTGTAAAGGGGTTAGGATCGGATAAAGGTTAAAGAAGAAAGGATAAAGGCTGAAGACCTAAAATAAGCCCCAAGGTGTGCAACCTTGCATTTAAATCCTATTATTTGTATGCTTGAGGTTTTCTCACTCTCTTTTTTTCACTTGTTTTTTGTATTTGACATTTGTATTTGAATCTTCTTTTGAATAAATGTGGGCAAATCCCGATCATGCGGTCTATCACTCACTTGGCATTCATGTTTCTCAGGCACGGTACTGAGCGCTCGATAAGAGACGCAATCCGAGACATATTCATATCAAAGACATTGGAACACTTGCCCCTTTTGTACACTTTTAATGCTTTTTAAACTTTTTGAAATTTTGGTAAAAATCACTCAAGATTTTTTACTTGGCTTTGAAAATTGCATAAGCTGTACACCGTCCCATCCCAAGGTTAGGTAGATGTGGGTTGAAAAAAGAAAGGTCAATTGTTAGATGAGGCTTAAAGTATTTTATCATGAAAGAATTGTATATTCGAAAGGGGTAAAGGTGAAATTATGTGGCTACAAAGGGTGCCTTAAATCATTGGTATACCTTGTGCTTAGCTCGGCATGTTTATTTTATTTTATTTTATTTTTTTTTTTTTTAAAAAAAAAAAAAAGCAATGCAATGATCATATGCAAAGAAATAAAATGGTCATTTTATTGAAAATGGAGAAGGGTAAAAAATCAAACTCATGAAGTAAATCTAAGGAAGATGATAGGGGGTGCCTATGTTGGACTTATTGGGGAAGGGGAAATAAAAAATAAGAAAGGAATCATGAAATCTTGTCGTTGAAACCCACCTCATGCTTTGTGCTTATCATCACCTGGTCTTCTTGCCAGCTGGAGGAACGGGAAGCTTGTTATTATCAATAAAATATTGGATGGCCTCCTTTAGTTTCCAACAACTCTCGATAGTATGACCCCTACCTTGATGGTACATATAATGGGCGTTAGGATTCCTGTTGGATGATCTATTTTCAGGCGCTAGATCTTGAATAGGTTCAATGGGAGTGATGAGTCCCTTGGCATGGAGACGATCGAAGGTGGTGTCATAACTCATCCTAATAGGGGTGAATTCTCTTTTTTGTTGTCTCCTTGGTCCTTGATTTTCTATGGCTAAGGCATCATTTAGATTAAAGGTACTAACATTGTTACTAGAGTAGGTGTTTTCGGAAGAAGAAGGATTGTCGTTCTTCTTTCCTTTCCAGCCACTGTTGTTACTATTGTTAGCAGCTTTCAATTTTGCAAGGTCATCCTCAATTTCAATGCCTATGTTATAAAAATCTTTGAAAGTATTTAAATTGCATTGATATTTCAAATGCTTTTTATATTTTTCTTAGAGGTTCTTGATAA